CGATTTATGGTACTTTTATAACAGGCAATGGCTTAATAATAGAGAGTTCTCTATAGGTTCCAAGAAGCTGAGCCATATGCTAAGGCCAAAGGATTCGCCCGAGGCACGTAAAACGTAAAACTCTTTAAGCTGAAAGAATACGCTGAGAACAATGGCGAGCTATGCAGATGCACAGATCTGAAATCAACATCAACTGAAATTTCACAGTTCGATTGGACAAACATATCGCAACCTCTATTGACATATCCATATCGAAAACTAACACAAAACCTGAAAACCAGAAATTCCAACAATGACTTCCAAAGACTTTCAGCACATGGCACCGCGAGCACAGCTAATCAAAGGCAAATCTGAAATGAAAAAAAGGATTTCAAATACAAAGGACGCAGTTGACAATAGTCCAGAGACATTTCTGGGTCATGTTTGCGCAAACACTCAAATGCAGACGCAAACTGCAATCCTTCAATTCCCCAGCAATTGTCGCCATTGTCACAATTGGCCAAAGGTGTGCCAAAGGGTTTGGGCCCAGTAGCACTCGTATGTGACAAGGCAAGCTGCAAAAATATTGTCAAAATTGTATAAATTTGCTGGCAATTGCATACAATTGCCAAGGGGTTATTCCTGAAAATCATATCTAACTCTGTAGGCTTTTTGTGCACCGATTGAGTTATCGAGAACCTAACATACATTTATGTTGTGCAAATAATGCGGGGGCTAGGCAACAAATACAGCTGCCGATGGATTAATGCAAGAATTATACACATAATGAATAGCCCACATTATAGAAGAGAGTTAACATCTGCCCACACAGAGGACAGGCTCGTGTGTTAAAGTAAAGAAAAGCAAGCTTTTCAGTAGAAATAGAGATAAAGTTTCAATAACATTTTTGATTGGCTTTTCTGATTCGTATTAATATTCAGCTAAAGCGTAATTAGAATAAGGCACTGAGTCTGAATTAATTGTTATTTTGTATCCCTTTATGTGGCTTAAACTGAATATTTGTGATGATATATTATTATAAACCATAAAATATTATTGCAGTTGGGATATAAATTCTTAAAAAATGATTTATTTTTTGTCTGTGCATGAAAACATCAAATTGACCAGCATGTGCCGGCATCCCTGAGCTGCATAACAAATGAAGACCTTGAGTGCTTGAAAAAAAATATATAAAATTATTGTATCAGCAATGTGAAGTCGAAGCAGCTAAAAACTAGACATCTTTCAGATTGAATAGCGACTGGCTGACAGGGCAGGCGCACCCGCACTCTATGTCTAGGCTCCTCAACATGATAATGATTCCTTGGTTTCTGTTTCTGTGAGGCGGAAACAATAGTCAGCAGATTTACTAGAAAAACTTGGCAGCATTGTGCGCCAGTTACTCGAACCTCGGTCTTAATGCGTGCCGGGCCCGTGGAGGACAATGCTCCACAATTTCAGTGCGACGCACTAAAAAACACAACTAAGCATAAAAAGCAGCGGGAGCAGCAGTACGAGAAGGACAGGGCGAGCAACTGATCATGCGTGGTGTTATTTTTGCTTGCAGCCTGCTGAGGAAACATCTGCCCCGCTCAATTTTTCGTTCGCTTCATCATATATATATATTTTTTGCTGTTGTCTTTTCTTGGCATTATTGCCGTTGTTGTTGCTTCTGCTTCTGCTGTTGCTGTACGCATGCACACGCAGGACGCAGGACATTTGGAACAGGATACTTGCAAACAAAAAACAAGTAAAGCGATGAGCTACATAAAAAAATGTAAGCAGCATGCGAGCGAGAACGCTGCTAGGTAGGCTGTGCCCGTACATGTGCTCGTATCCCTGTTCGTGTCCTTACAATTAACGCTTGACTCCTCCGCTAGACGCCGGCTGTGCTCGCTGCGTTGGCTGCACATGTACAGTTCCAGTTTAAGTGCGAGTCAGCCAGGACTGTGTCTAGGAACAATGTCAAGGTCAAGCGCGTGCCGTCTGCACACACGATTTTTTAATAGAAAAAATCTCGAATTTTTAATGCTAAACGCAGGATATGCGTATCCTGCTTTAGTTGAAAGGCATGTGCTGTCGCCAGCAGCTGTCGCTGGCGCTGATCCTGTCATTTCGGCTTGGAGCGTGCGTGTCCTTATTATGGCACTTTTTCGACGAGTAAAAAATTATGAGATCTTGTTTTTTCATAGAAATTTCTTGAACCTATATATCCTGTCGCCCGCTGAGACCATCAGCTGCTGTTGATCTCATTAGCATATGCGACTTCGAAGCTTTCAGTATCATGCGATCGCCAACTAATATCCTGTCGAGCACCCACATAATGTCACATTGACAGCTGCAAGCCTTAGAAATGTTATATAACTATCGCGCATGGTTTCCACTCTAATCCTTTCGGCTCTTTGTCCTGTGACAATTGGCTTCATCTAAACGTAAACAAGCCCCACAATAGTGATTATCCTTGCATAGCACTCGTCACCTCAATCCTTCTTTTGTTATTTCCAAATTTCCCCTACTCTCTTCATAAGCCTTTGACAATTTACGACTGTTCGGATTCTAAGTTCGCTTCAGGGCACAAACTGAATATGTGACATGCTTATATAGTTTGAATAAGAAAAGATTTTGTTTGATTTTGTAGTATTGTGCGAATATTATTGCGAAAATCGTAACATATTAAGAGATGGGAAGGAGGAGCTTTCTTTTGGATCGGAATTGTATGCAAACGTGACGGCCAGAGCCTCTGTAACTTAGGTATCTGAGCGTCGGACTAACTAATGAGAAGTCGCCGGTTCAAATTAACTATTCTTATGTATAAATTTGTATAAAGTTTTTTAGCTTTTCAAGCATTCAAATAAAATAAATAAAACATTTACCATTATAGTTGCTTTGATCTGTGCTTGAATATATATATATATATATATATATATATATGTATATATTTATCGATAAGAAGAAACTGTCTATCGTAACTAAAAGGGGCTCCAGGATTTCTTGTGATGTATTCTAAAAGTGGAATGAATACAATTTGTCACACGTTAAAGCCATTAAGAATCGTTTGAAAATTAGATACGATCGCCAAATAGATTATAATTTAACTTTTCTTATCAATTTTTGTACGTTTTCATACAATTTTTGTTGCTGAGAAAACCATTGTAAGATTATATGTATTCAGACATTTTTCTATGAAGGCATTTGTCTAACAGCAAGACATTCTCTTTTTAATGGAATCCTGTTTAAGGCCGATGCGATCATAGGGGCCTGGTCTGGCTGGCTGTCCCTGCTTGGACTATGTCTGTCCTCGTCCTTGAGCGTGCAGACGTTGCCCTAATCTCTAATCGCGCGTCACGCTGGCAGGACAAGGTCCTCACCTTGCCGGAACGCTGGGGCCAGACTCATTTGGGACGCTTAAGCCGGCGATAAGCATCGGCAGGTTCAAGCTGACAGCCAGCAGGTAGTTGTAGTTGGACACGCTATTGTCCTGCACGTCCTCGTCCTGACCAGCCGGCGGCCGGTGCTCCATACATTTTAAATGTTGCAATGTGTTTTGTATAATTTATATCATAATTTTCAATGCATTGTGCCTGTTGTTGCGTTTGCTCCTGCTCCTTGATAACGCTTGTCCTCGCCACACTGCAGCTTTATCCTGTTGCACGGCTTATCTAGATTCAAGCTGTTGTCCCAGTCGATTTCGTTGCTTGTTTTGCTCATGTTTTTAATGATTTCGTAGGGGAATGAATAAAAAATTAAGCCATTTTAATAGGCATCAAAGCGATTGATTTGTAGAAGTTGGCCACAACAAGCAATCAGTAGAATATGTTAACAATAACAAAGTTCGCCTTCAAAAAGTTTACGTTTAATATCTGATTATTTTCCATGTAATTATTCCAGAAAAGTCTTAGGTCGCAAAGATCTGCTTAAGCAGTTGACATAGAGTTATATTTCCCATTGTTAAATACCATCTCAAACAGATCGCTGGCATCACCTTTCACCCAAGGGCCAACGAAGAGAGCAACAACTTCCGGCCATGCAAATTGGGTAAAACAGGAAACCTGTTCAACCTTTGAACTGGCTGGGAAACAGGCTGTAAATAATATTTTGGACAATTCTCATTAACCACCCGCCTTGTTGTAGTTTGCCGAAATCTGTGATCCTTGACGATTAGTTACAAAAGACATAAAAACTTCCGGTCTGCAAAAATACGCGCAGAGGAAGCAACCGAACAGCATAAAAGGTGCGTAGCTGTTGCACTGTGATCCTGAGCCTGTACCTGTCTCAACGACAGATGCGCAAAATATACAACAGGATCAGACAACAACAAGGATGCGGAAGCAGCAGTCGCGGCTCAAGAATCAAAACAAAACTGGCAATGAGAATAAGAGAAACAAACGGTGCTCAAAGCGGAAATAATGCCAGTCCCAGATCTCCGATCAACAATCTGCGAACCCAGTTCCAGTTTCCAGCCAGCGCAACAGTTGTCCCTGGAGGCAAACACTGCTGAAAATCACAACTGTTCGCAGCTCGTTTTGAATATATTTCCATTTGTTTTTTTTCCTTTTTTCCTTTTTTCCCTTTTGACAGCCCCTGCTGCTGGCATAGTGCAACACGTTGTTCTGAATGCGTTCTCAATGCAGCTCGCCTCATGTGATGATCATTAAAAATGCAAGCAGCAGTGGATACTGCGGTTTGATAATGTCAAACATGTGTCTATCCTGTGACTACGCGTCCCTAAATGGAGAAGCTGCTGACGCTTCTCTCGGGCCTATGCTAAGCACAGTGGATAGTTAGCGGGAAAAAGAAATCAGTTATGTGAAGTAACATAACTGTCTTGAACTAGAAGAGCCAAGCTGCTTTAAATATTATTTGCGATTATTTTATTCAAACAATATTTATTTCTATCTCTGCGAAAAGTTCAGAGTAATTCCTTTATAAATTGTACGCCCATAATTGGTCTATGAAGTCACCATCCTTTTTTTTTTTTGAAATAATTTCACAATATTATTTAATTGAAAGTCAACTCACAGCCGTGTCATTTGGAATTGTTGAAACAACGAAAATGGAGCACTTCAAAATAGATATTAAAATGCTCGATGCGAATCGATTGCGAATCGAAAAATGCAGCCTGCATGCCTGATCAAAATAAAGAGTGGGCAAAATTTATATGTAACACGCAGTGAGAGATAAAATGATTAAATTATGGTGCCATATTTTCTGGTAAATTTTAAAACAAAGGAGCTGGCAGAGACACAACGTTGTCCAATAGGTGGCAGCACGAGATGTGGGAGCTGGGAACCGGGAGCCGGGCATGTTGCGACGGGCGTGATGATTGCATTTTAATGGACAAATTAAAAATCAATGCCTGCTGAGTTGCACGTACTTTGTACTTAAATTAACCAAACAAAATTTTGTACGCCACAGAACGTAAAACGGACAAAATAAATACAACAAAAATAAAAAAAATCAAGAGACAAAAAAAAAACTGTCGATCGAACACCGATCGTGAGAATGGAAATGGCGACAATGTCGACGGGCGGCAGCCCGAACTCCATAAATCTTCATAAGCTTGTCACGTTTCGAGTGCAACAGCTACTCGTAAATATCTGAATCCGAAGCCGTAGCCGTATCCGTAGCTGAAGCCTCAAGCTGTGCCGCCGAAGACGATGACGAAGCTCCCAAAAAGTTGCTGCTCCTTGCGGATTAACAATTATTTTGACATAAAATAGCCGCACGCCTCACTCCCAGCCCCAGCCACAGCCCCAGGCCGGAGCCCGAAACGTAGACGAAAGTCGGTAGTCCGACTCATGAGTCTTGCTTTCGACAATTCACGGCTTCTGACATCCAACGGCCCCACACAAGAGATTTCGTGAGTGTGCCACGGCGGTGACACATACGTGCCGCGCTTTTCGGCAATGTTGATACTTTCTGGACTACCGTTGCCACCATAGAGATTGGACATCATTTGTAAGCGCAACACGTGCCGCCCAGCAGAGCTGGAGTCGTATAGGCGTACATGCTGTTAGTGGGATCTTCAAATTACCTTTGTATTGGGTAAACGTTCAATGAAATTTGGTCGTAAAACTTGTTGTTTATCTTAAATTCGTTATTTGGACATTTGCATTTCGGGAAATGTTGGCTGGAGTTCAACAACTTTAGTTGGATGATGGGCAAATCGAGTCGAGTATTATTTTAATATGGTTTCGAAAAAGGTAGAATTTTAATTGAATAAATTGCTGATTAAACTTCAACTAGCAAAATATATCCATTTTATAGTTAAGCATACCAAATTCTCAGTATTATCCTCCATAAGAATTACATTTATGGCTTTGTTTTGGTAATGGAAATTATTGTTAGCAACTAGATAAATATAGATTTACACCCTACACCTAATTCCTAATCGTTGCTCTATAAACTTATTTGAATATCCGGAAAATTTTATAATGATCTGAGAGATTTTTTTGAACGAATGTAAAAGCTATGCGGATATGGGCATAAAACTTCTAAAGAGTTGTTTCTTATTTATTTGTTAATAAATAAACAAATAAAGTTTTAGACTAGTTCGATGGAAGACTTTTATGTGTGTGGACCTAAATTGATTGCAAATCAATTACCGGCCTAGAGATCCAATTAAAAAAGTCAACATGATTCGATGCCGAATCCAAATGTGTGCTTAGCTTTTTTGTGGAGTGAACTTTTCCCAGGCCCGCGGGCGAAATGGAAAACTCGTCTGTGACACTGACACTGACAGCCACCTCAGAGTGGCCAATGATGGCCAGCTAAGAGCGGCCAACAAAGTAGACCAGGCAGGCAATTGGAAAAACAAACACATGCCGACAGAGGCAATAGGCCGCCAGATTGACATCTTCATCATAAATAAAAGTGAAAAACTTGTTGGGTACACATGAAAAGCCGGACAAACGCAAACTCATAGCTAGCCGAACGTAACGAAAAATGCTGCCACAGTTTTCTACGATTTGTATCTGTATCTGATGTGTGGCAATGTGGCAAGTGAATGTCAATCGAAATGGCAAACAAATAAACTAACAAGCAGCCAGGCAAATAATCATAACAATAACAATGCCATTACCCATCATTTGTTGGCCAGTTACAAGCGGGTTAATGAAGACATGTTGCCATGTTCCTTCAAGAAGCTGGACACAATTTAGTCGTTGTCATAATTACATTTAAATATCGCATACTGTCGCTAATGGAGCGATCAAACAGGAGGTTGGCAGTGCGGTGGGGGTGGCGGGATTTCGGATGCAGTCCAACGTGACGCATGCTTAATTATCGGTCCATGTTGGAAACGCCCTCTCGTCGCTAGGTGTTAACAAACTGATTTTACTCAATAATTTTCCCAACGACCTGTAACTGGTTTGGCTTTCAGCACGTAGCCGGGGCCCCAACCGCAGTCAGCACTGACTTGGTTAACGCCGGCTATCGCAGCTACATGGCTCTTTAATCTTCTGCAGAGGCGGCAACATTATTTGCATGCTGATTAGCCTTCAACGCAGACAGGTTGCTACACATTTTGCACCTCACTTTCCATCTCCCAGACGTATCTCGATCTCGCTCTGTCTCTGTGCCTTCACGCCTCCTCCCCAGCGCCAGCGCCAGCGCCAGCGCCAGCTCCAGCTCCAGCACCGACTCCAGCTCCAGTTAATCTATTAGCAGCCGCCTTGCACTTGCCCGTCGCGACCACTTGGTCCAATTTTCAACACTTTTGACGTGCTGTTAATTGATTTAGAGCGCAGTTTGCGTCCACGTTTGGCCATTGAGTCTCACTGGCTCACTGGCTTTTTGTCCGGTGCGGACATGGACATGGACGTGGACGTGGACGTGGACGTGGACGTTTCTGACGGCGTCTATGATTATATAGCGCCACTCGCTTGTTATGGCCAACTTTGGTTGCCACTGTAATGACTGTTGTTGGTAATTGTTGCCTCCCCATTGCCGGCGCAGTTCACTTGGCGCTGTACGTGCCACCAGTGGGAAAATGTTTGGCTAACTGCTCAATCGTGCTGAAATGACAACTTTATTAGCTTTCGAACACAGATGTGGGCGCGGCAATCGCTGTGTGGGTGGGTGAACACAAACAGAGGCAGGTCGTACGGCTAATGATCAGAGTGGGAAACTGTACCTAAAAATCTCGATGCCACTGCTCAATGCTCGAAACTTCTACGCACTCGGCTGTGCTGCGAAAACAAAGGGCATTCGAAATGCATATGTTGCTTAGGGTTTTTTATTTCGCCTGCATGCACACAAAACAGGGTCAGTGGAACACCTTGCGAGGGCATCAAATTCAGTGCTCACAGCACAGCTGAATCAAAACACCAGAATCAGAGACATGTGCAGAGCGAGCAACAGATTGCCAGCGAGAGGGTCCTCTCGTGTGCATACCGAGGCGAACAGGGAGTGCAACAAATGAAACGAATCCTCGAAACATTTGCCAGTTGGTGGTCACAGCAGGTACTTTTTAAGGATCTGATGCAGATGCAGGCCCAGTCGCAGTTGCACTCACAGTGAGAGCCCTGCGCATCCTGTGCGCAACAGGCTGCAGCCGCTAGTCCAAATCGATTTCTTTTTTACCATGCCAAAGAGATTTACTTTTGTTGTTTCTCTTTTTTCCTGTTTTGTTGTTCTTGTGGCAGCTGCTCCAGCGATGCTGATCACCAAAATGGCAGCAATCACAGCAGACGCTACTTTGTTGCAACCAGGCACATCAGTTGCTTTCGCTGGAAAATTCTGATTTCCAAGCACAGCTAGACAAATACTCTTCAAGTTGGGTGTGTTGGCATGTCGTCCAGACGTTTCTGTCTGCTTGTACTTATGTCTGACAGCCACAGGGCCGTGCCTGCCAATAATATTCCTCATCAAATGCCTATTCGCTTTTTATATATTTTTGCCATTGACTTATTTGTTATGCGTGGGCGTTGTCCACCAGACGTTTTAAACGCGTTCAGATACATTTGTTATTTCTACTGAATTTACGACCATCAACATTCTTGATGTTCAATTCGTGTTTTGATTGCCTATATGACTTCTTGTACGAATTAAACAGTTGACGTGGCTCAAAAATAATGTTTTACAGCCAAATATTGTAAGTCCGAAACATGACAATTAATTGCAAATGCCTATTTTTGATCGTACGCCTCCAAGCGAAACTTTATATCCAATAATGGCCCGAAACAGCTAAAACTAATTTTGTCATAAGGATATTTTTAAGTTCATTCACTTTGAATTATTTCGAGCTGTTATTTCGAATTTGCGCATTTGCATTAATACAGTTTTAACGAAAGCGTTACCCAAAAAAAAAAAAGAAAAAGCAGATTCCAACTCGAATCTTCGTCTTTGCGGGCAAAACGAGAAAAAATTGGGGCTGTGCGTACTAACATATACTAAAGTCCCTTATATTCAGCCAATATTAGCCGCTAATTTTAATTTTAATTATATTGAAAAAAAAGCGCTTCAATTTGATTGCTGGAAATTTATCGAGCGGAATGCTTGCGGCATGTCGCCGTTGCCGCTGCCACACACGAGACCCAGTTCTCAAAAGTAAAAACCAAATGAATATAAAAAATCTGGGCATGAAAGCGAAGCGTAAAGTGAACCTGATGCCAGGTCGACAGTTGTTGCAGTTGATGAACTGCGCCGGCTGCCAGGATTTTTTGTGTCTTTTTTTTTTTTTGTTGCTTTTTAAAACGACATTTAATGCGCCGCCGCCGCGAAGCCAATCAAAGACCGGCGCAAGGGCAGCAGCTTGGATACCGCACGGCGTCGAATTGGAGCTCAATTTTGGTGGATGCATTTTCGTATATATATATATATATATATATATAAATGATAGGCGTGTGGTTTTTAATTACATGCAGTCCGCCTGGCAGTAGTGGTTTGTACTTATGTTTTTTGTTTTTGGGGTTTTTTCTTATGTCTCATATGCTAGTTTGGGCTTGACATATGGCACGCGTTGCGCTTAGAGATTGGGGCACAGTATGTTGACTTCTTGGCAGCTGCTGGGCCTCTGAGCAACTCAAAGTTTGCACAGTGTTTTTAACATTACGCAAACATGCCACAAAGGACAACGACAGCGTCTTGTGTTTCAAATGCAACACATGACTTTTGTGTTTCATTGTCGCTGCTCGAGAATGGTAATGGAATATAAAGAAATCATTTGATGCCTGCAGCGGCAACCCACCCCGAGCTCGACTACTGTGTCCTTTTTGTCCTTTGCTTGATATATTTTGTACAATTTATTTTACGATTTGGCCGCTCCATTGTGCGCGTGTCTGTTGATTTTCCATGGCTGTTAAATTGATGGATTGCTGTGCGACTTTTGACACCACATACAATTGCATTTCCCTCCAGACATCAGAAAGTCAACTAAGAAGAATCGAAATCTTGGCTGCCAAGTCTTAAGCAGGCATGAATAATGCGACTTGCAACGGACCCAGCTCCTTTGGGATTTCCTTCCGCATTCCCTAACGATTGAATACATATATTTGCGTGGCCAAAGTTAAACTGACATTTATTTTTTTTGTCACAATGGGCATTTTTATTGACTTTTCGTAAATATCGCTCTAGCTTATGAGTAAAGTATATCGGCTATAAAGCGTTGGGCTTGCAAAATAAATCTGTCAATGTTTGCGAAATAATTTAATTAATATTGTACAGAAAACAAGCAGGAGTGAAGATTGATTAAGGAGATTCACGAAATTAGCCTTTAAGACTCAGAAAAAATTCACACATCAGCTTTTTCAGATCTCTATTCCTTAGCCCCCTCCCATAGAAAGTTCCAGATCATTAAATCGGTTTGATTGTATGGGTCTTAAAAAGCAAGACAGCAAGACATGCATATTTTGAGACTATAGCTCTCATAACCTCAAGGTGTCTCTGGTCCTCATGGATCGGAAAGTCTTGATTAGTTATCTTCAATTTAAACTAGTAACCATATACCCTTTATTTTAATTCTTCTGTATTTGTATATACAGATACAATATATAATTGCAGGATAAGAAAAATCTATTAGAATTTGATAAAGAAAAATGTGGCAAACTTAATGTTACTTCAAAAAAGAATGATATCAGTAAGGAACTCTCAGCTATACCAATATAGCTTTAAATAGACACTTGTGGCACTTCAATCAAAGTAAGTACTAGCGTATCTATGTCTGCCTTCAAAATTGTATACACACACATGTATGCAGATACTTGTATGAAGTGACAAGAGAACGGACGCAGCCACTTGAGAAATCCACCTGCACAAAAGCGACGTTTCGCCGGCAACTGGCAGCGATCTGCATCTGCGATCTGTTGCGCCTGTCCCTCTGCCTCGCCCTGTACCTTACCCCTAACCCGATGCCTGTGCACTGCTCAAGTTCCAAGTGCTGCGTCTCCTTGATGTTAATAAACCTTACGCACACACTTATGTTTTAATTTCGCTGGCCCAGTCTCAGTGCCGGTTGGTGTTGTCGCTGCTGTTTCCACTTGAACAAACTGCAGATTACCCAAGTTAAGCCCTTAAGTGTGTTCCATATCAGGTTTATCAATACGCGCCTTGCTGTTGTGTATCGCATCGAAGACGAGCATTCGCCTGCCTGGCTATATGACCGAACGGCCGAACGAACGGATTAAATATATCATTTTTGCCTGTCTAATGAAAGGGTTGCCCCAGCCACTCGGCTAACACCTGAAAATTGCAGTTGCCGCTCCTGCTCACAACCTGCTCGACGGCAACGGCAACTGTATTTTATTTTGGGGCTACATAAATGCTTTATGAAGAAAGTTGTGTTTGGGGGTAGGAAATATAGCAGGCGTAATGATTGATATTGAGGAAGTTGTCTTGCGGTTGTATTACATTTCCACAGCGAACGTACACTGGCAGCAAAAATGGGGCTTAACATAACAATATTAACCATATTAAATAATAATCCAGCATAGTGTTTTCTTGTTATATCGTACATATATATTATGCCAGAGCAATGATCAATAAAAAAGACATTTTAACCAAGCTCGAAATTTGACAATTTTATATTGCAAAATCTTATTATTGGCGGACCACAAAAACATATACCTGTCATAGGAACGATCATCCAAATGTACATGCATAAAAACAATATAGTTTTACAATATAACAATTCTTCTAAGCTTAACAATTCTTTCTCTCTCCCTCTTTTACACACATAGCATAGCAAAACATTCAGCTAAATGTCTACAAGGGTATCTAATCCTCGGGTCTTCCTTTTCTTAGTTCAAAATAAAGCACCACCAATTTGTTCTCAGTGTTTTTTAAATGCTTCTGGCTTGTACCGCTTACGATACAATGTCGATAATAAAGTCCTTAGTATGAAATTAATGATTAAACAGGGGCGAAAGATACAGGGTGCCCTGCATTCATCTTCATATTATCGGATGTAAGTCAAGTTGACAAGATTCAAGTATACTCAGTTTAATATGTTCAACTTGCCATCTTAGCTTTAAATAATTTTTAGAAAGTTTTTATTCGACAATTTAAGTACTTTTACCATGAAGATAAATTGGAAGACGTTTCCAAAGTTATTTGTCGTGTTGCCTGTACTACACTACGCGCTCTCGTTATTTATGCAATCCGAATCCGAGGAGCACAAACGCAGAAAGGAGCAGGGTAAGTGAATTGTCGATATATACAATAAATTGCTCACTGAGATTCAAACTAATGTATGGCAAAAGCGAATGCAAAGGACGTGACTATTGCGCGCTTAATGCAGAACGAAGGACAGAAATAGTACGCCAAGTGTGACACCCTGTATAAAGAACTGCGAAATTTTTTTGGCTGTGGTAAGGAAGTAAATGCACACAAATTACCCCCAGCCAAAAAGTTATCGACAAGCCCGGACGACGACAGCAACAACAACGCAACGAAACGAAACGGAAGCAGCAGTCAAGGTGCAAAGCAAAATCATTACACCTGTTCCTTGACGAGGCGAGTGGCCAATGTGAGTGAGTGTAGAAAGCGTAGAAATCGAACCGAGAACCAGGCCGAGGATGAGGCCGAGACGCGAAACGCTAACGCTCGATAATGCAAAGGGTTGAGCAACGCGTGCAGCCGCTGCAAATGCCGCAGCTAGTGTCTTTGGGCTAGGGTTAAATTTTTGGGCATTGGTCACGCTGCACTTGCCACGCTGCGCTGTTGCATGTTGCAGGCGACACAAATACGAACATTTCGCTATCAAAATTAATAAAAATAAATGCGCTTCGCTCCGATGCGCTGCCGTTAATGAGCACGCAGCCAAATTGTGATATGCATCTGCAACTGGCCGAGATGCAGCTGCAACGAGCTGCAGTTACAGTTATAGTTGCATCAAGGATTTGCACGAAAGTGCATTTTAATTGTTACATTTTGACCTACCCGGCTATTTCATTTCAGATCATTTTATTTAAATTTTATTGATATCATTAGCACATTCTTTAACTTGGCTCACCTTGCTACACCTGCTAGCCTTCATGGCTGAAAGGTTTCGTTAGAATTAATGGCCCAAAGGGGTTAGTTTGGCTTGGATTGCTTTTTCTTTTTAATTGCAGCTCGTCTGCATTTTGGTAATTTATTATCTATTCATCGAAAACCGTACACGAGAGGGCTGCGTTTTGGGCTTAATGTTGCATCTGCACAAGGGTGAATCCATAATAAGAAAAGTTAACGGTAAGAGCGTTAAGATATTTGGGCAACTCGAATTGGAATCAACAAGACATGCATATACATGTGCATAAAATTAATATGCACTACAATTAAAGCGAATTTAAAAGCTGGATGCATAATCATGACATAAATAAAAATAATAAATGTATATAAGAAAAATATGCAATAAATTATGTTTTCTTTAGAAAATTCATTGGCTATGCCTATCATATTTATAGCCGCATGCATTACAAACCCATTCTTAAGCTCCAAATTTGTATTTTTATCGAAAACAACAAAAACTTTTATTAATACAACTTTTGACCTTCATTTACCATCAAAGAGGATAGATATTTGAAAATGAGGTATCTCCAGCAAAAATTTTAGTTTTCTAACTCTTACGGCTTTTACTGTGTCTACATTAGCATCAATTTTGAAAATATATATAAATGTTAAGGGTTCATCCCAGTTGTTTTAATTATAGGATAAACATGTAACATTTATTCAGCATATCTATACTTAAGCAATAATGTCGCCAAGTTTATGATGCAATGGTCGCAATTATTTGGTTAATAATTTGGGGAACGGTTAACAGTTTACCCTACCGCAAGACAAAAGACTTAAGCCACAAACTTCCGTTCGACTTAATATACGCATACCCATGAATTATAGCCAAAGGGAGCATTGCATATTATTTAATCATACGTTGGCTGATGGCGGTAAAGTGGTCCACAACTGTATAAGAGTACTCCCGGTCAGAGTGAAACAGAATGCAAGGGAGAGAAAGACCGAGAAAAAGAGAGAGGGGAAATGGAGAGACCGGAGACTGGCTAGCGCACCTTGCGCTGTATATTTGGCAGCATGAAAAATTGAAATGACAGTCGAGCTTATCGCAAGATGACAAGACGAAGCAGGGAGGCAGGCTGGCAGGCAGGCAGGATATGCGGCAGTGGCTCGAATGTATATATTTTTGGCAATGCGTCAGTTGCAATTAAAGTGACAGCAAAGCGGCGCACTGCACGATGACAACCTGCAACTGTCAAACGTCTCTGCGGCGTCGGCAGTGGCAAAAACTGTCAGCGTTCAGTGTCGAGAGACAGACAAAGAGACAAATGTGACGCCATATAAAATCAATAAATTATGAAAGCCCCAGCCCTGGCGCACTTCTGCTGGCACCGCAGTTGCATAATGCATATTCTAAGTGCGCCCCAGGATGCAAAAGGACAGGCGGCTGCAAACCGGTTGCTACGACTGCTCGTTCGGCCACAGACCATGTCCTTAGGGAAAAGGCGCGTCTGCACGAGTATTTGGCGTTGATTGATTTAACTGCAGAAGGTGGGCAGGGAGTTGCTTTTGTCGTCGACGTCGACGTTGTTGTTGTTGTTGTTTTCGTTGTTTTAATGAATTAATTGAGTCTGGCCATAATTAAATTTGCACGTTTCGTTTTTTGCTGCAATCCGTTAATTTATGAGCTTTTAATTATTTTTACAATTAAAGCTGCAGCGTTCACACGTACAGGAGCATTATAATTATTTCCTTACAACAGGATCAACAGGATATGCTGCTCATTTGTCAGTAGTGAAGCGTTAAATCGAAAGGAGAGCAACGGAGACAGGGTAGCAAGTTGTGTTAGTCCGAAAAAGCAAAAAACTTGACGAGCGCCTGGTAGCAAAACAAAAGACTCAAGCAACAAACTTGTTTTACGTTTTTTTTGTTTTCTGTTTTTTTTTTTTTTTTGGCAGCTGCTTTCTTGAGCCGCTGCCATTGCCATCGCATGTTGGTGAAGCGGACTTTTTTAATTATATAAAGCATTATTTTCTCCCAGCTACACAATAGACGTGATCTTTCACTAGCTCAGGTGCATTGCCAGGCAATGGCTTTGTTCTATTTCTGTTCACAGGCAGCTCACGGAGAAAAATTGTCATTTTAAAAACTCAATTGTTTGGAAACGCTTTGCTATACTCGCATTAACGAAACTACCTGCCGAACAAAAACAAAAACATAAAAAAAAAACTGAAAGAAAGAAAAAACCATTTCGTGCGTAGTTATTCTGTGAGGCTCGCACGCAGCTGGGACTAGCAGAGTACGGGATTGCAACAACAGATCTTCTTTCCTCTTCAATTTTAGTTTAGGTTTTTGCAGGTGGACATCACGAAATATTCTCAGGGCCAGATATGTGTCTGGTTACGGTTATAAAACTGTATTCCAGTTTGGCAAACGTGGGAACAGAGTTTCTCATTTTGGCAACAATTCAGTTCGAGATAATTTCTACCAAAATAGTTTATGGCCGAAATGAAAAGTTTCCTTTCAGAATTAAAGGTGGGTGGTTTCGATTAATTAGATGTGCCAAGCTGTAGTAAATAGAGAAATGATGTGACATTTTGATGAGCCACACGTTTGTCCTTGATGTTTGTCCATTTTTTGTTTGTTTTTAAAAAGGTAATGGTATTTGATTATTTGGGCAAACAAATTTCGTTAAATAGTCAGACAATAGTCCAAGAACCCACTCCGTGTAGCTAGTATAGTTAAAAAGCTGGGAATATTGTGTGAGTTATTTCTATGTGCTCCATGTATGGAGAGTATATATAGAGTATATATGATATGCTATTTAACTTTAAGGGCAGTCTTTGCTTGAGCCTACAAGTTTTAAGAATTGGCGCTTTGTGGGTATGAATATGAGACGAAAATGCAAAATGAGGAATCTCTCTCTTTCGCACCGGATAATTATATTCATTAGTTAATGTAAATCGTGACCGTGAGTAGTTCATGGTATCTGGAGCTTTCATTTTGATTTAATTTGTTATGCAAACATTTCACTTTTTTTGACAATTTCACCTTTTGTACGTATATTTCCCGCCATGAGTTGGCTTTAAACGCGCTGGTCTATCGGCAATCAAATGAGTTGGCAACTTTGTAGCGGCCACAGGTTGTAATCAAATGGACGGATAAAAGCAACGCATACTCTGACTTTAATTGTTTGCAAATTAGCTAATTAAGAGCATTAACAAAAATATTACAAGTTTAATTGGAGACGAAATAATTCGCATAGTGGCGGCGCAAAATCGCAGGTAACTAACTCTCAGCCCTCGGCATTCTATGGGGGGGCATTTGAAGACATTTATGAGCCCATTTAAATTGTATTGCCGCACGGCCAACGAATTTCCGCAATTTGGGCAGCTCTGGCCGATCTGCGATGCGATAAGCTAAAAAAAAAAAAAAAAAAACAACAACAACAAATAGCCATAACCATAAGAAAATTAAGAAAAAATTCAAAAACAATGAGCTTAAACAACATAATTGAGATGTTCGAGCGCCCTGCGGAGTCGCTTCTGTCTTTGCGCCCGTGTTGTCATCGTTAAAGACTTAATTTATTTATTAGCAACGGATTTTAACTGCTCCATTGTTTCAGAGGATTCACGTTCAGAGGCTGTGGACTTGTGTGCATTTGCCGCAACAACCAAAACTGTATAATAATAAAATATATACTAAAAATATTGAAGCGCAGTCGCCCTCAATTGCAAAGCAGTCAGTCAGCTAATTAGGAGGCATCTTTGGCTCCCCTTTTCCCTGCTCTCAAGTTAGTACCAGAACCTAAGAGAGGCGTTTCCGTCTGCTCTGGCTGCTGCGGCTTTTACGACTTTATTTCTGTCGGCTGTTGGGCTCGTTTCTGTGCATGTTTTCAGTTGTTTCGGCTTTTATGATGATATCCACAGATTTTGCACCTTATGAGAAAATCTCAAGATTGGCCACGGCCGGCTCGTTGTCGCTGTCTCATCTGCCGCCGACATGGACTCTGACTTCGACGTCGGCGTCGGCGTCTCTGCCAATCTTGTTAAAGCTGCTGCTCGGCACATTGACACTTTGTTGCGCCTGCGCATGCGACTTGCCGCAATCTGCGGCTAGTTGGCTAGTTGGCAGCTTGCTTTGCTCTTTGGACATTTTAAAGTCCGTTTGGCTGTCAAAAGCGTTAATTTTTAAGTGCCTAGTGAGAGTTTTTTGGCCGCAGAGCGGAGTTTCAAGCAGCAGCTGCTGCCATAGACACAGACAGATAACTAACACAGCATAATAACTAATATGTATATGTATATGTGTGTGTCTACAGTTTTATGGGTGCACGGGTTCAAGTGCCAAGTGTCTTGACTATTTTTTATATGCCACATTCTTTTCAAATGTTGAACCCATTAATTTGTAGCTTGTCATTAGCAGTGGAATTGCTCTCAACTCTCCGACTCTTCTCTGGGCTACTCGCCCAGAATTCTTCATTTGGCCAATTTACAGTTGCTTGTAACGGATCGCAGCTTGTCACCTGAACACAGACAGGCTCTAATTACAGCAAAAGTCACATCGTGAAAATAACAATAGGTCATGTTTTTAGAATTGAAAATATTCACACTGCCTTTACGAACTTAAACATAAAGTATAGTTAAAAGGTAAGCCTCCGGTGTCTTTATGTTACTTCCTTAAACAAACAATTTTCCCAGATTTGAATCCGAGCATTTTATATGCCACGTTTCTTTAATATCTTTGTATACCAGCTCCTTATTCTAAAGCTTTTCGATTGAAAAAGTATTAATATTTGGAAAACTATGGAACTTCAATCATTATTTCTATTATAGGAA